ACAACATTCCTTTTTCTCTCTCATCTCTATTATTAATCATCAGCGTGTATATTGATCAGGTTCACTTTAAACAATATTAGCTTGTTTTTTTTTTAAAGTCTTATGAAAGTCTAAAGAGGAAAAAAGTGTCAGTTATTTTCTTTATATTTAAAAAGAATTGTTTTTCGTATCTTCTTGATTATAGACATTTTTTCTTAATTGACCAAAAAACGAAATGACCATAATCTGGATGTAGATATTTTTTTTTCTAAGATATGAAAAAAATGTTTTTGTCTTTATAAACTATGTCATTTAGCTATTGTTAGATGCGTTCATCGTTATTTATTCGAATGATGACGACATCATAGGGAGTGGCATATCAATAATAGGAGAGAGAGAGAGACAAGGAAGACAAATATGTATAGACTCCAATTAGTGATATTGAACAAGATCGATAATATTGATAGACACCATTGGAGAAAAGATTTTTTTTCACAAGATAGTGTTAATAAAAATGATTTGGTCATTTTTCGAAGAATGACACCTATTCATCGATAATTTAAGGTTGATTTCAATTTAAAATATTCTTGGTATTTTGTTATATGTTTTTATTTCTAATCAAATAAAGCCAGTCAACCATTAGATCGATTTTTTTTGTATATAGAAATCAATAAAAATATCTTGTGAATATATAAGGACCATACGTTGATGTATTATCATTTACAAGACAATAGGAAAAGATGTATGTAACATGATGAAATTGCAAGCTGTTCAGAACAAAACAAATATTTTTCAATTAAATTTTTCTTGTATACAAACTATCAACATGTCACATCTACAATGGCCTCAAGGGATTTATATGCAAACAAAAATATCAGTATAGATGTTTCAAATTTGTTCAAGTTAAATAAAATAAAATAAAAGAAGACAAAAACAAAAATTCTGAGGATGTAGATCCATAACTTTTTTTTTTTCTGTGTATCATTTATCTTGAACTTAAAACGCTTGAATAAAAACTAATTTCAATTGAGTATTCAAATGAATGCAATCATCAATACATTCTATTGATTAATCTTTAACTATTGTTCAACAGTATCGATATTCGATTTTTCTTTTCTTTTATTCCCATGGTGATTGATGATGCATTTAAAATCAATTATTTTGTAAAATTTATAAATAAAAACTATAATAACAAATAGAAAAAGATGCTTTAACAGTTCAACATTCCCAAACTAAAAGAATTCATGATAAATCTCAGACTCTACGGGAATTATCAAAGTTGTACTAATGTTTGACAAAGAGTAACATTGAGGAACTTTTCAGTGCTCAGATAAAATAAAATTGCGAATAAAATTATTAATAAAGTAAGGTATTATCACTATTTTCTCTGTAGACATGTGTAATGTTTCTGCTATAAATTCTTCAACATAACTACATTGTAATGACTTTCTTTCTTCCTAAGAATTGTTACACAAAAAACGCATCACGTTGACTAGAGTGAAAATGGATCCTGAGTGAAATAATACATATCCAAGTTATTTAAATTATACTGAACATTTTCTGAATCTTTCAATTGCAAAATATTTCTAAATACATTAGAAAAAAAGTTTTGAACGATATGGTTAACTAAAAGAAATAGAATATAGGTTTCTCTAAAATTTAGATAAATAATAAATGAAAATGAACTATTCCATTGTTCTAGTTTATTTAGAGCTTCAAATTCAATCATCAGATCATATTTGTTGTTAAAAAATCTTTGAATTGTATAATCAATGTAATACAAGGTTATAATTTGTATACATACTGTGATGACATTTTCTATTAGAATAGTTTTAAAGAAGCCTATCGGTCATGCTATAACACTAATGTACAAAACATATATTCGTGATCACAAAAAATGAATAATGGAGACCTTTACTAGGCAGCTAAGTCTACCTGTCTGAAGTTGTTGATGCCTGTGATTGTGGATTTGGATATTCTCTTCACCCACTCATATCCATATCCTCGAATTTCTCGTTTAATCGATAATCGTCAATGAAAACTAAAAATAGTTATGAAAAAGATAAATAAAAAAACAAATCAATAATTCCGTTTTTTATTCACCTATATAATCTAAATAAAAATCAAGGTTTTAGCATAAGTGTAAGATGAATTGTATAAAGTATACTTTATTCTGGTCATTTATTGTTCTGTAGTGAATTTAAAGAGACAATTGATAAATTTTGTTTTGTATTTTCATATAGTTTTGAAGTTCTTCATAGAAGATCAATGAAGTAATTCGTATTTGATGTTGAAAAAAAGACATTCATCTTTTTTTACAATGTCATTGAATTTTTCATTTTTTTAGTAATAAGGATAAATATTTCATATTTGTGTCTGATAATTTACATTCTTATTAAGATATAGATCATAAGTATTTGGATAGTCTGTAAAAAGAAAAAAGAAAATAAAACTTTCCTGTCATTGTATCTCTATTTATTTGCTTGAGATTTTACATTCACATTAGACTCTGTTAAAGGACTGGTTGTTTTTCATAAAAATTAGGTGAAAACGAAACTGATTTTTGTTTTACAATTTTCTTTGCTGATACCAATATTTTTGAAGTTCGAGTTCAACTAGATAGACTAAATATTTTCCTCTTTGCTTTTTTTTTTGGAAAACAAGATGAAATATCGAATCTTCTAAAACATCCATTTGAATAGAAAAATGAATTATGCTGAAATCTTTCAAACTTCTACTTTTTTTCGAATAGTCGTACTCTGTTAACTATCAATAATAGCATCATTGAATAGCTATGTACTGATCTGTCTCCTTGCTAGTGACTGTCTATTTTTGAATGATTCCAACCATCTCAATTTATACAGAGACAGATATTAATCTGTGTACTCCATATGAAATAAATGTCACTAAACAAGTATGAGTTTTTTGGTTTCTTTATCGTCGCTCGTCGTTTTCTCTTTTGGTATATGCTTCATTACTGATATATTTATCGTCCTTTTCATAGAGTACTCATTTGATAAGAATTTTAAAAAACGAGACAAAAAGAAGGCAAACACAGATAAGAACAGAATATAAAGTTTTGATACGCTGCAAAAGCGAGATACGAATCTTTCGAAAAAAGCGAGTTAACGATAAAAGGCGCAAAAAATTCTATCAACTGCAATACATCAATCAAATTACGAAGAATAACGTGGGTTTAATAACTTAATCGAGGTGAGTAATTTATCAAGAAGATTCGAAATGCAAAAGAAACTATTTTGAATATTATACACTTAGCACAAAGACACTGCAAATAGTCTACTTCTTTTTTTCCTGCTCTATTCATCATTTTCAGTTATTAAAGAGATAATAAACCACAATCAATATAATATAACTGTGACTTTAATGAGATTATGCATGAAAAGGACAGGAACATGATGATGAACTTTGAGTACGGGTAAGACTATCTGTATGAGAGCTTCTGGTCGCAGACCAATCTACTTAGGCGAATATCGAAATCTGTCAGTCAGAGAGTGATGCGTGGCAATGAAGACGAAAAGCTTTCAACTAAAGCGAAACTCATAACAATGAGAACAGAAAGCTTTGCCTTACTTATCAATGTAACGGAGCTAGAAGAACAACTTTCATCGCTAACAATCATGTGAAAAATCAAGGAACAATCATTTCTAGCTATGGAACAATGAGTCAAACCGTTGACGAAACAGCTGCGTCTCGAGCAACTACGAGCGAAACTCAGACCAAGAAACTTTGGACTATATGGTCGTGGTTCAAAGTCAGTCTACAATATTTCGATCCTGCTACCAATATGCTAAGGCACTCGTGGAAAACTTAGGGCTACATGGCAATGCAAAGAAATGAGTCGATAAAGCTTCGGGTAATAGAGAAATCTATTAGGATGGCAGATGAAAGTTTCAAGAAGCATGCGACTCTCTAGAAGTCACAAAAAACCTTACTCTCACAAACATGCATGACAGTGATGACAAAGGAGCTATGATCACCCGACCATATATCAGAGCGTCAGTGCACAAGTTTAACATTCAGTTCAGTTATCAATGTGTGTAGATCAGAGCAAACAGCGTAAGACACAGCAAAATTACACACCGCAAAAAATTCCGAAAAGCTACGGACGTTTCTTCATTTGAACTAAGTATCTACAAAGAGTGTCATGTCACATCAAAATGCTTCAGATTTCGATCAATACCTTTAGATTCACGGACATATACTTAAGAAGGAAGAAAGAGTGCCCTGTGTGGTCCATCAAAATGTGTTCGTGATGGAAAGCCTCTTCGGACAAAGCGGTGAGTGTGTAGCTTCAATAGTGAACACTTTTGGGCAGCAAATAATGCGAAAGAGTCGAAGAACTGTTCCCCCACATTCATCTACTAGCATAAGGGGTATCATTGTCCAATCACAAGTGTGGGATGTGAGTGTGGGTATAGAGTAGTAGATCACTGACATCTACACCCATACTCACATCTGCACTTCACACCCTCAAATCCGTACCATCAGTGTTCAACGAATTTTGCTGAAATATTTGTTATAAAAAAAAGTTTGTCTATTCAGAAGATTTCAGCAAATCTCGTCGTTCTTTCATTGAAATATAAAAAGCATAATAATCTGGAAAAACTTGTGGAAGAAACAATTACATTTTAATGAAATTCATTCTAAGAAAACCGATATAAAATTAGATAACGAAGAATCGATACACAAAGAAATCTTCTGCGTTCAGTATTGAATAAATCTCTATCATATTAATAATTCACTTTAAAAATGTTAAGTTACTGTGATAGTGTCATGAGAAGATATCTCCGTATGAATATTGGAACTAATATCATATGCATTGAGAGTTCTTTAAACATTTATCATGTCAAATAAAGTACTGTAATATAAAGTTGATTATTGTCAAGAGACGAAAAAGAACGACGTTGACGAAAATATTATCAGCATAAAATTTATTGTTTTTTATTTTTCAGACATTTATTATTTTGATAGGTCGCCAAGAGTTTTCTTTTTTGTTGAACATGGCCACAGGATGTGGAGAAGAAGAGACAGCACAGTGTATACTACGCATTACAGATATTGTCAAAGAGTCGCTTGAGTTTCTCGCACCCATTGGTGGCTATGAAGAAATATCACTTGTTTCCCTTGAAGAAGCTGTCAAACCGCTTGTTCCTATTCTGCCAGCCGTTCAAAGTTACGCATATGTTGCCAAACAACGATGTAAAAATCCTGCCGACGAATTAACACAAGATGAATCTGCCTCAATTATGTTGTATACGATGGGGTGGAAGCCATTCGATAAATCCTTATATTTCGTTTTAAATGATATATTACGATCACCAGACCGACAACAAAAGCTCGAACCATGGTTTTTATTTCTGAGACTCTTTCTTAATGCACTGTTTCGCCTTCCGTCGTTGTCTAAAACTGCGTACAGAGGTGTTAAATTAGATCTGAGCCAACGCTACACTGAAGGACAAACAATCGTCTGGTGGGGTTTCTCATCGTGCACAACATCTGTTACTGTGCTAAAATCAGAACAATTTTTGGGAAAAACAGGTGAAAGAACGATGTTTACCTTACAATGTCAATCAGTTAAAGATATTCGGAAGCATTCATATTATCCAGCTGAAAACGAAGTACTTCTTATGGCTGCTACTCAATTCAAAGTAATGGGTTGTCTTGATCAAGGAAACCTTCACATTGTTCAACTGGAAGAAACTCGTCCGCCATTTCCGCTTTTACAACCAGTACCAATTGTTGTTCCACAATCGATCAATCCAATTTCTTCAGGTAAGTGAAAATCAAAGCAAAAGAATATTTCACTTAATAAGTGATGTTTCAACTTCTGATAACACAAAGAAAATCAAAAATTATATCCTTCAATTAGAGTCAGGTGCCCTAATTCTGCCGGAAAAAAAACATGTTTTGTAT